GCTTCGATGCACATGAAGAGCATTTGCTCGTAATTTATGGGTGCCTGAGTTTACCCACACAAATCCAGCTTGCATCAGTATTCTTCAAGAGTACTCTTTCTTTCGAGACAATTCAAGACTGTTTTATTTCCGCGCTCAAATTGGCGCCTTACTTCACAGAAATGTCCAGCTGACACATAGTTGTACCACGCCCTTGCGATATTCATTTTGTGGGCATTATTTCCCCTTGCCTGATATGAACGGCCAAAAGCAAGTTGATTCCTCTGGTTTCACTTGAGCGGAAATAGAACAGTATCTGGCGATTATTTGTCCATTCCCGGGTAGTCCTGCCCCTTCTGCTGGACCCACACGTTTAAACAATTCGCATAAATCGCTGTTGACGCAATCCGCCAGCATCTGCAAGACGCAAGGCCCCCCTGTGCAGCTTGTGGAACTTTGCAGATGAAAACGATTCAACCATTTTCAAGCACAGGCAATCCTGGACGTACTGCCCTCCTTGCGCTTACCCCGATCGTGCGAAATTTCGCGTCCATGACGCGCGCGAGGCGCCTGGGGTCCTCATTGGGCAGCTGGGCCACCAGTCGCCCCATAGCCTCGGGTGACCTTTGTGCGTTCCGAGGGGCTGCGCAGAGTCAGCGTTGGCCGTGGCGGCCTCGCGAGTGCCCACGCGGCCGCGGCACGCTCCGCCAAAGAGCGCCCGTGCCGAAGCCCTGGCGTGCCCAGAGTTGACTGACGGTTGTTCCCCTAGGCTTCCCAATGGCGTGGGGCTTCAGATCTGTTGACCATCCTGGCTACTCCGCGCACGGGCTGAAGTTGTGGTGCTCAAAGGGACACGGGGCTTCTCGCGCCAACTGGCGCATCTGCTTGAGAAGGGCCGATGAAGCCGCCTGGTTGCGGCGGTGTTCTTCGGCTTTTCAAGACAGTCATCATCATCACCATTTCTTATAGAACAAGGCAAATGAAGTAGCCGTCGCTTCCCATTTTGACCGAGCAAAGCAGAGTCTGTGATCAGTCCTTTGAAATCTAATGTTGAACACAAACAAATTCTTTGAGTCTATTAATCCCTAATGCCTAGAAGTGATTGTCGATGATAGTGCATCAAAAGAAGTGTCCTCGCCAGTTGGCGAGCTGGAACCAAGAATAAAGGCAGTCAACTGAAGGCCGCAGGATTGTGAATTTGTCACCTTTCATCTCAGAGCAATGTGCGGGCTTGAGTGGCCCAGTGCTGAGCGCCCAGTTAACGCCTTTGGTCTTGTCCATCATTAATTACCACAATCTTTGCCAAATGGAAATGGTATCCTATGACCGCTTCTGTGCTTGCAGTTCGATATCGCGTTCTTCCCGATCGGTGTGCTCGATTTCTTGTTCGCCTTTCATGCATGATTGGCGATGTCAAATTAAGCCAGAGTATCCCAGCCGCACGAAAAGTCGTTTATGTCCTAGGGGACTGTGTCTAATAAATATCTGTGCAAAAGGCGTGGCTATAAAGGATCAGGCTTCGCAGGAATGCACAAGTGTATTTTGTGTTGCCAGCTACCCCCAAACAGCGGTTCGCGCCTGCTTCATTCTCATACCCTACATGTTGTTGCGATTGAGCTAGTTTGAAACCAATTTGAAACAAAATGTTTTGTCTCTTGTCTGTGACGGAGCGCTGCGCATGTGCTTTTAAAGTCTTGTTGCACCATTCTCGAAAATGGGGATGACAAACGAGAACGATGATCGAAGATGAACACAGATGGAAGATTTCTGGATGGGCACTGTCACATCAGCAGCAGATGGCGACCATTAAAAAAGTTTGCAGCAGTGGCACTCTGTGCGCTCGACCACTTAGCCAGCAGATGTTGTTCTTGCAGTACTCTGGTGCAGGTAGCTGTGTTCGTCATCTAAAAATTAGACAATAATACACTTCCCACTGTACTCGCAGTAGTACAGGTGGTGGTAAGTGCAGTTTCACAGGCATACTTGTTGCCTTCGTTCATACAAGTAGCAACATATTCTTGTACAGATGTTGTTGCATATTCATATACTGGTGTTGGTTATACATACACAACATATCACGCCGCACCCCAGTTTGACCAGTCCACTTGACATAGCCACCACCTCCATATAGTTTGTGACCCATCCTCGCATGTACCATGCAAGTCAGTATTTTCAGTCAGTATGAGTTAGTAACTAAGATACATCAGCAACTACTCATACATTACAACCCCGCAATCAGTATTCTTCCCCAGACCGCTCCACCATGTTATGGTTCAGTACCCTTTCATATACTTAATTAAAGTAAATATGCTCTCTTTTTGTTGCCCTGCCCCAGTCTCTCTCATATCTCACGCTAAGTTACCCAGCATTCCAGGTCGCGGCTTGTCACGGGTTGGGACCGACCCTGGCCTCGGTCAAACACATATTCATGCCCCGTAACACACATCTACCTTTCCCAGCTGGTCAAGAATGACTTTCGGCGAGCCTCTGACGGTCACAGCAGTCACGCCCCATCTAGCCTAACCGAACTGGGTGCTTTGGGCACTCTCCACAGAGAGCCAGCCTTTGCGTAAGCTTGCACGAGTTCGCGGGCGGTGCACACACAACAAGAAAACCGCAGGACTTCTCACAGTTTTGTCTGGGTTTGTTTGACAAGAAGACGCCGTCCCCTCTGTCACCACTGACTATATAACCTTGCAGCCTACCATGCCCCCCTCTCACTCACTCCGAACCTCACCTTACATCCTGCACTTAGAACTCCACCACTAACATGCACATACTTCCCGTGGCCCTGGTGTTCCTCCTAAGCTAACTACTTTGGTGCCGGGTACCTTTTCTCACTGAGAACTTCTATAACCCCCGCACACACAACTGCAACACTACTTATCCGTGCCTAACCTGCAATCTCCCGGATCACAATCTGACTCCGTGCTACCCTCTTCATCTCAAGACCCAACAGCAACCTCACAGTGAAATGGTCTCGCTCCCATCTGCTCAACTCAGTCTGCACGCTCATCATCTCACCCATGAACGCCTATTCGTAATTCTTACCTCTTCCCTTTAAACTCCACACAATGTTGGTCTGCCATGACACGTTGAGCCCCAGACCACAGTGGATCTCCGCCTGAGCCTCTGTTTGCCGCGCCACTGAGAAACTCATGGGTACCGCTCCATACATAAAGAGTCAGACCACGACGGCCTCTTTGCAACTCACAGATGGGTGCACTAAACACCATCTTCCTAGCACAGCGCCGTTCTCACAGTGCTCCGTGGCTCTCACTGACCCTCCGCGGCCCGCTGCTCAGAGCGAATCCTCTAGCAGTCTCACACTGGTCTGCTAAGTCTGAGCCTCTGCCTCATCTCCATCTTCCCGTCTCTCTTGTGCCTCCCGATCACGTTCATGGATAACCAAATGGGACTCCACAGCCTCGGATAGCAGAGGGAGAATGTTCACGTGGTTAGCAGCGGTCTTATATCGCCTGATGGAGCATTCCACCCTCCACTTGGGAGACCCATCGAGTAGCATTCCAATGCGACACTCAGTTAAACAGCAGCCCACCTGTGCGAGCTCCCACTCCAACTCCCGGCGCCACATGGCTAGTGGTCGCAAGCCTTCGCCATCGTCCTTTTGGGCTCCGCAAATAGGCATGCAAGCAAAACGGCTTTGTGCGCCTCCCCACCACGTCCTTTGCTGCCACGTCCTGCACGTCAGACGGGATCCCGCTGACTACCCTTGCACGGGTTCCCAGAGTACTGCAGTACTCTACGCACAATCCCAATACAGAGGGATGCATCCCATCATTTTTCCGGCGTCCTGGCTACTCAATTCTTCCTTTACTGACGTCTAACTCAGTCAATGCAGCCTCATTTTCATTTAATGCTCTGCAGATTTTGCAGCACTTTCCTGCGCCTCTCATGTATCCACACTGGAGCGTACGAGCCCCCTATGGAACTGGCTGAAAATGCCTTTCCTATGACCGAAACGGTAGCATACTCGGGCCATCCCATTCAGTGAGGTCATTGGACATGGTTGTGAATGCACCAGAACGAGTAACATTAAGGCAGAGTTGGCTGTTCATTACAGTCCATTTTGCGGCAACTCAAACAGCCTGATACCACATTGTGCCTCGAATATGGAATGCCTTGCGCAGCGTGTGCTATCGACAAAGCAACAGAGGCAATGCACAATTTGAGGCCCGGAGCCCCATCCAGCTGCTGGAAGCAGTGACACCACATCAAGGTACATTTCCAACTGCAAGGCTGCAAGGTGCTGGGGGACACCAGTCGAAGGAGAGCAGAAGTGCCATGTTGTTCCCTGTGGCCTTAGTAAATATCGCAAAAGTTGTACAATGTTCAGGAATGCAACAATTCGGGCAATTCAGCGGCAGTGACAGTGGTGCGACATACAGGGCACACCACCACAGTGGGCACTGTCACTCATTTGGCCACTGCTAGTCCCATTTGGCGGCCAAGATTCCAGCTGGAAATCCGCCAAAAGGAGACAGGCATTTGATTCAATTCGGCGCAGACTTGCCATGCAATCCTATTAGACAAAACTACCATCCTCATCACTCATTCTTACATAACAAGGCAATGAGGTAGCCGTCAACTTCCTATTTTGCTCGAGCAAAGCAGTGTCCATGATCAGTTCATTGAAATCTAATTTTTACCACAAACAAAGTCTGGCAACAACTACCACTTGTCACCGCTCGCAACGCACGCTCCATCGAACCATTCGCACTTCAAGTGCCTCTGGCGGCAGCCGTTGGATGTGTGCAACTCTGGCTTGATTGCATCTGTCAACTGGAATTGTTCAGCCGTTGAGGTCCATCCATGCGGCCCTGTCCAGGCACATCCGTCCAGAAGCATAGCAGGAAAGCCAACGGTCCTGGCTACACTCAAACAGCTTCTATCACGAGACATCGCAAGGCAATGTCGCCATTGCTGCATGTTCCCACGCTAGCACTGCCAACATTCCAGCGACTGAAGGACGCCAAGTGTCCTGTGCAAAACAATGCCAGCTATCTGTCGATGTCGAGGTCGGCGTTGGCGGAAGGTGTGCTGACGGTGCCGTCCTGGCTGCCAGTTTCGCACCACTCCTGTCGAAGCACACCAAGTTTGCAGTAATGTTGCAACAGAAAAGGGCGGCTTGGAACCCCGCACAAGCGGCTGGTTCCCCCACAAGGTACTGAAGAAAAGGATGGCAACAGCTCGGTGAAGTTTACCCGACTCGGTCCGTTTTGATATCTATTTTGGTAACGTTATCTTCAGCCTACATCACCTTTATTGCAATCCTGCTACAACAGTTTAGGCATTCGCTAACACATGAATGTGAGCATTCTGACTCGATTCAAAAATGGGAGTGCAATAATTGCGGTGCAACAGGGAGTGCAACAGGCACACAATTATTCTGTACTGCGGCGAAATTTTGCTGGTGAGATTGCATTGGCGCCTCTGGTGTGCACGGCGCCGGCCGCAGCGTTGCTACAATGCTAGGCATCACAGAAGCCTTTGGATGCGTACACCCCGCCAGAGAAAGGCGCCCACCGAGTGAAACCACGCCCAGTGAAAGACACCCGTTCTGTGTTCCAACACCAAATCAAATTACGTTACCAGCCTCAAAGCTGGCTTCTTTCAGAGAGCCAAATTCATATCTTATCAAAGTTACAGGGCTGCAATGTCGTGCTGGCCGCGCCGTGCTGCAGCACACTGGCTTGCAACAAGACTTTTGCAAAGACGGAATTGCATTCTTGAAACTGTGGCAAAATGTGAAAAAGACTGACAGAACGCGGCCTTTGCATCGGTGACACTTTGTGCGTACAAACCAGTTGGCTACCCCTATCGGCAGTAGGGCGTCACCTGTATATTATATCACATCGCGTCTGATGCCCACAGCTCTCAGTTTGGAGACTTCAGCATACGAGCCTGAGCGGGACGTCATGCGACCAATACAACGCAGCGCTCCAGGCGGCTGCAACAAGAAGCTATAAAATTGCAAGCTACAATGATTCAGTTGCAACACAGCCTTACAACAATGCGAGCATCGGCCACACCCAGCATTGCTTCTCCGGAAAACGTGCAGGGGGACAGGCAGGCGATGCATCATCTTCGCACAGTGTAAGTATCGGTACTCCGATGTATCGATACGTCGGCGCATCGGCACACCACTCTTGCTGGTGGTCTTTGGGCACTTTTTCTGCAGCCTGTCACGACGACGCTTTGGAACGCAAAAAGGGCATCCGCCCGTCATACAGCCCCTTCGTTCGTGGCCCAACCGCTCGCTCCCGCTGAGCGTGCATACTCCGCATGCAGCCTACCTTCTCCGCCTCGTGTCCGTCGCAGTTGTCCGGGAAGTCGACGTGAGTGTTGACGATGTTGTTGGGGTTCTTGCCGTCCGTCTCCTCGGGGTCCCAGACGAGCGAGTACGCGGCCTTCTCGTGCCTTTCGTACACAAATGAATCGTCCCACATCACCTCACACACCTCCTGTCCATTCTTGTAGATCTGTCCGAAAGGCTTGCACTCGTCCCCGGCGCAGGTCAAGTTGGGGAGCGAGAAGAAGGACCTGGGCTTGCCGCCGAACCTGCAGTCCTCCTGCTTCAAGAGACGTGCGGAAAATATGATCGCAGAGCAACGTGCAAGACAATATACAGCCTGGGGTGGTGTTAATGCAGCGGGGCAGTAGCAAGTGGTGGTTCCATGCTTTGGTGTCCAAAAATGTGGCATGGGGCCAGACAGTGGTGAATCATGTGCTCGAATGTGCGTATGACGCTTGTGCCTTGAGCTTTTGTACTGAAGCATCGTGCGATTGGAAGTTCGACAAACTGATGCTGGGATCGCGAGCATAGTTGTGGCTGAGATAAGATCGTACGGATCTGCAGACAACAATTGATGGGAAACACAATGAACATTGACGACCCACACTGAGCGAGGTGCTCATCTGCTAAGAAAGGGTACATGGGAGGAGATACTATTCTGCTGTGCAACCATATCACACAATGCTGAACTGCTCCAAAGTTGAAATGCTGATCTGCTCCAATGTTGACACGGATTGTGCAGCGGAGGCCAGGAGGTGACAAGCACACCGGCGAATGAAGTTTCAATGAAACATGGACACCAAGCAATGACAGCAACATCCCAGTTGCTCTATCATGCAAATGTCTGACAGGCGCAATGTTTCAGCATACAGCCTGTGGTACACATGCAGTATTTCATCCATATTATCTGCAACCGCCATACCAGGCCTGCCAGCTGCCCACCTCTGTTAAGCAGGTGCAGAAGAAGACGTCTTTGCAGTCCTCATACCACTGGTCACACTCTGAGGCCTTGAGCGGCATTTTGGATATGCGCCACGGCCCTTCCTCACTGTCGCTGCAGTCATTCCACAGGCGATACTTTCCAGCGCTCACGTCACACTCGTAAAGGCACCCCTCTTCAACAAACCACCGCCCACACTTCTCTGGAAACTCCCCCCGATCCCCATCCAAGTAGCACCGGTCCCATGCAAAGTCTGGCCCATACAGATCGCTGTCGATCCGGGAGGCAGTCTCTGCAGAACAGCATGCATTCTCTTCGTACTTTTGACAGGGTCCCAAATCGGCAACGGAGAGGGAGATGTTCAGTGTGAATTCGACGCCCTCGATGTCAACATTCCTCAACTTGCAGACTTCACAATCATGGGGGGTTATCTTGGGGTGGATCGGCAGCTCGTCGCACCCCTCCTCCACAGTTGCAACGTCATGAGAGGGACAAGGGTCTGGAAAGGCCACATGCAGGTTGATGGCATTGTTGGGGTTCTCCCCTTCAAAGTCCATAGTGTATGCCTGGTCCTCATTGGGCTCGTAGTAGAAGGATGATCCCCACATCAGGTTGCACACGTCCTTTCCGTCGGCATACACATCGCTGAACTTGCGGCAGGTGCCTATCTCGTTACCATCCCCATCTTGGGAGTACTCACAGACCCTGTCGGACACGCCGAGCATGGATGGATCCTGAGGTGTTGCGCAGACGTAGTCATCTTTGCAGGCCTCATACCAGTCGTTACAGAAGGAGGCCTTGATAGGCATCCTCTCTAGCTCCCAGCTGTTGCCCCCATCCACACTCCCACACTTGGCATGCTTACTGCCAGCACATAAATCAAAACACATGCTTACTGCCAGCACATAAATCAAAACAAACACAAGTGTTAACAGATTGGCTAGGTGCTGCTCAGGTCTTCAAAAGTAACGAAGGGGCACAAAAGGTGTGCAATTGTCCGGATGTTTAATGGCTGGGGCGAGTACCTCCTCCCAGCTGCTAACACAAATAGACCTAAACCTGGCACCGCGATGTTGTTCCAGTACAGTGAAGAACAGCAGTCATGATATCTGAACTCTTGAAGCTTGATATCCATTGCACATTGGGCAGGTGAGACAAAACTAGGGCCTCTTTCTTGGTCACCACTGCTGGGACTGAAAAAATGATGTATCCTGACAGGCAAAGCCAAGTAAGCCACACACCATTGCCTCTGCGTAAGTCGCAACAACTGGCAACACTATTTTGCAAGCAGCTTACAAGCACCTCACAGTGCTTGGCAAAACCACAGCCCAACTCCATATCATCAGCACAGACAGAGCAGAGCAGCAAGTGGGGAACAAATGGTGGAAAGGGAAAGCTTCAATGTGGTTGCATGCCACTGACATTGCAATATTTCGCAAGAGCACTTGGACTCGCATCCCAAAGACTGAATGGCAGGATTTCCATTTGTGGTGCAGAACATTGGGCACAGCATTGTACAACATCAATGGCAACTGGATGAGACGCAAAGCTTTCTGAAATTCACAATCGCCTTGGACTTGCGCACATCTGTACTGGAAAGTAAGGGTCTGCATACACCGCCATACAAAGCAACAAGCAACAGCGGCTTAACAAAACACAGTGGCTGCCTTGTGCATGATGAGTTTGCTCCACTTGATGTTGACCTTCTGTGTTTTAAAAGCAATGCGAGATTCTTGCATGCTGCCTGCAAACTGAACACCTGCAATCACCAATATGATGTTTCTGAAGCTCCTTGCAACATTACGTACATTCAACAGATGTGTGTATCAGAAGGCCCACAACAGGCTACAGACTACGCTGCAGTGCTGGACCATCCACCAGCATTTCTTGACTCAGATATTTTGATGCACACAATCCAGTGATTTGCACCTACCGGTATTTACCAGCACTGGCATCGCACTCATAGAAGCAGTCCTCAGCGATGAAGAAGTCGCGACAGCTCTGGCTCATGTCCCTCGGAATGTCAGGGTCCTCATCGCAGCGATCGAACCTATCTTCATCGCCATATAGCGTGAAGAGGCTGCCAAAGGGTCGACACAGCACAGGGTTCAACATCCTGAACGAGTCCAATCGACAGCCCAGCCCACACTACAGCCTGCACACTCAGCAGCACAGCCTATGCGCCACATAGATCTGCACATCTGTATGCATCTGCTCATCAATACATGCCAATAAATATACAAGCTGCCAAGAACAGCGTCAGGGCTACACAAGATGGGGCAGGACACCTTGTCCGAATACATTCTCTTCGGCAGCATTGTGTCAAACAGACAAAAACTGTTGAAAAAGGCTCAAAAATACCTTCTGCACGCCAGCTCAAGCAACAAACCAAAGATACACTTCAGCACTGAAGTATTGAAATAGCTTGTCCATACTGCAGCTCTGTGGTATCGAAGTAGTTCGCCCATAATCTACAAGCTTGGAGCACAACCACACTTTGTGCGCCCCAGGTGCATGGCACCATGTGTGCAGCAATACACAAGTGGTGGAACGCCGAAATGGCTGAAGAGTGAGCAACACGAATTGTTGGTGGTGCAGGGAAACCTGGCGCTTGGCGCCTGAGATCCAATGAAGCACCACGGTCCAATGCACAGGGAAGGCAGGTTCGGCCAAAGTTCTCAGAAACAATTTCCATCCGTTCAGAGTTCTTTGTCGGGCACTGTCCACACAAGGCAAACTGCCGCCACAAACTGTGCTGTGCTGCGTCGCCCGTACTGTACCGCAGCCGTCAAGCACAATGCCAGAATCACCCCCTTTTCCGGCCATTTCTGGGGGCATCCTGCCTGCTAACCAACCTGAACAAAACCAACAATTCCGACAGATACCAACATCATTGTACCCCTGACAAATGCCTTTCCAACCCCCAACAACCACACACTGCATGCTGCATGTCGGCATGAAATTAGTCGCCCTATCCTTTCATTGAAGACCCCTTCTTGTTTCGACACCCTAAACCACTGACCCACTGACGCACATTGGCCTTGTCAGCGGAAGAAGAAGGGATTTTGAAAGAAAAGACAGAGGGATAAATAGATTCTCGTTCAGGCATAATACTATATAGTACTGGTTGTACCAAATCGGTGACGGCTTGCACTAAATCCCTCCACAACTAACCTAACCTAGCCCCTAAACCCTGAAAACTAAACCCAAACCAACCCTAACCCTAGCCCTAAACCTAAACTAAACCTAAAGCTAAACCTAGTGCTGAGGTGAAGTCCTAGTGTGCACGTGACACAATGCAAGCAGTCATTTAGTGCAGGCTGTAATATTTTTTCATCTCCTGCAAGTCCCCGCCGTTGCGGCCATCACGATGCACACCCGCGTGCGCCCCTGGCGCACGGGTGGCCCCCGCCAGCACCCCACTCACTTGTCCACCGTATCCTTGGTGCAGCAGGCGTTGTCCCTCCACTGCCGGCAGTGCACGAAGTCCTCCGCCGGCTGCTCGAAGGGTGTGGCGAAGTCCTTGGTGTGGTCGTTCCGCAGGTGGCAAACTTCGCAAAAGCCCAGCGCCGGTGCTGCGCAAGACGAGACCAGCGCCAGCAGGAGGGCGACACTCGCGGAGGCGGCCATGTCCCTTGGAGGGTTGCACTGTGCGCAGGCTGAAAGGGAAACGGCCACGGCGTGGTCGGCGTGAGATGTTCAGGGATGCAAAGAAACGGGTGACGGCGGCGAATGTTGGGTCGCTGTTGTAGGCCGTTTGGACCGAGGGGACCCATCAGCGACCAGGGGAGCGCCCACACTTTCTTTCTGTTACACCGCTCCGCTCGGAATGGACTCCATACGGCGGCCATGCAACACACGCGCGCGAGTCGGGTGGAGGGACGTCGAAATCGGCGGTTCAGTCAACGAACCCTTTGTCATGGCGGCCAAGACGCAGAGAATGGCAACGCACAGGGTTGTCATGGCGCCAAGAGATTTTGAAACTCACACTTGGGTTTGGGCAACGTGGAAGCGCAGTTTGCTCTGCTAGAGCAACGTGGAGACTGCCTCTCAGGGGACAGGCCCACATGCCGCATGCCACATGCAACAAGCCACATGCCACACTCCACACGTCCACGATGGCCGGTCGCCCGGCGGCTGCGCACGATTGGGAGAATGAACAACAACGAGCTCGAGTTCGAGTTCGAACGCCACCAAAAGGCAGTGGCCAAGAGCGCTCGGGGCGTCGGCGGGCCCTTGCGCGATGACTCAAACGGCGGGCGCAGGGAACGGCTTCTACAAAACAGTCGCGCACAGGTTGGCATCGCCGCTAGATCCCTAATGAGCAGGGGGGTGGCGACAAGGCGCCCGCCCGCATGCCTCTCGCGGAGCTCCACCTGTTCAATCCGCCGCGAGCGGCGCGGCGATGCCCTTCTGCGGCGGCGAAGGCGATGGCGGACAGGCACAGTCCCCCCGGGCGGGAAAAGGACAGAGGGAGAAGTTTGGGAGAAATGCCAGTCCAGAGATCCCCCAAGGCCATGACTGTACCACATTAAGCGGGTTGTCGTGGGATTGTTGTAACTGAGCTGATTGAGCATTATCAACAGCTGGACGCGTAAAGATGTGATGAGGCATTTAGGAATTCCATTAGGGGCATTGATGGATGGACTGGATTTAAGGAACAGACGCCCTGTTGTCCCTTTGTTCGGCTGTAAACCATTGCCGTGGACTCAAGCCTACAGTCCCCGGGCAGGGGTCACCAACCCTCGTCCCTGGCTTGCCTCATCAGTATCATGGACGATGATCGATCATGGCATGCGGAGTCCTCAATAAACAATAGACTAACACTCTGGCTAGTCTCACTGCTAGCTGGTGTTCATTGTGACTGCCTAACGAGGCTGATGAGCCACGGCCAGAACTGCAATGTCACTCTACAGAATACGTCCAACCCAGATCCCAAGGCACAATGTTGAAATCACCTAAAATCAAGGCCATTTATGCATCGGCCGTTGATTAAAAAACCAATAACAAAACGGTTGGAAATAGGACAAAAACGGGTGATTTCATAACACAGGGCAAGCAATCTTAAGTGGAGAAACCATGGGATAAAAATTGCATATATTGAGATTAGAGTTTAGGACTTTAACCATCAAGAAACCATGGTCTGGGCATGGCCAGGCCATGGTTGGGGCGTGCCGACGCCATGGCTATAGTGTGACTGAACGATCCATGAAGTATTGGGAAGGATACAAAACATTTTTACAAGGTGTTACCAAGTACAAGAACGGATGACAGTCGCCAAAATGTCAATGTCTATCCACCATGGCGGTGTGAACAATGTCCCAAAAGAGCTGTCCGACTGAAGTTATCTTTATATCTGGCCCAGAAACTGATTCCCAACACTCTAGAGCCTGATCTGCGTTTGCAGCCTGCACAACAGTGTGCAGTGCCTATCGCAATCGCACCGCCTGCTCGTGGTCAAACCCGTTGTCTTATAATGGTGTGTACGGCCTATCAAAGCATGGAGGGGTGGCAGACTTTGCTCACGGAGTGGTTGCAAAGTGAAAATATCTGACTTTAGCATAGGAGCTTGTGCCCCGTGGGTGACAGGTGCCGCTTTTGGAAGGTGAAGGCAATCCCTCGGGGTTTCGGATCATGGGTGGTTGATTTAGAAGTGGCTGATATGGAGTCTTGCTCCCAGGGTGCGCGAAGCGAAATGAAGCAGGAGTCAATTGACCCCCGAGTGGTTATTGATTAAATGAACAATACAATTATATAATAACAAATAAATTGTTGCATCCAATAACCACATATTCGCTCTTTCACCATTCAGAAGTCCCACTTTATAATCAAATACATCAAGTACATCAAATGTTATCTAACTTAAGCACATTGTATTAGCGGCATCACCCACATCGGGCATCTATACACGAGGACGTGGTTTGCAGGTTGGTAGCTGGACAAGAGAGGGAGATTCCAATGGAGGCCAGGGTTTGATGTCGCATCGAGACCCACCATCAGAGGCATACTAAGTGATAATAAAGGCATGAAATATGGCAGCAAAAGGACGATAATACAATATTGGAGGTTGCCGAGTTGCAGACATACGATTGATTGACAAGGAATTATTGATACGTTCAATCAGCGATGGGATAGTATTATAGTAATGCAGAATTGATCCACGGGCAGGCCAGAATAGAAGTGACTGATAATTAATGAGTTGTCAGGGTCAGAGCGTGACATCGCCATGGTTGGGGCATGGCTAGGTCAGGGTTGGGTCATGCCGGTGCCATAGTTTTGGGGGGATTGTGGGGTGATCTGGTCTATGACAACTACACTATGATGTGTATTGGAGGAAAAATAATCTTTTCTTAATTAAAGTTGTACTGGGGAACATCGGGAATAGTACCAAAGACAATAGTAATGTATTGATTCATTGGTTTTAATACAAATACGAGGCGCTCCATGGTGAGTAGGAGCCTCACTCAGTTTGTTGATTCCTGTTTGATTTGTGCGCCTCTGATTTGTGATGGTTACCATGTCGGTGCCAGCTTGCCTCCACCCCTTTTGCAAAAGCATTGCCCCAATCGGTCAGGGCTCCGTGTGGCTTCATGTTGCCTTCTTGTTGCCGGTAGTATTGTGTTGGGCGAAGGAGCACCCGGTGGAGTTTGTCTACCACCCCAGAGGGCCTAATAAGGCGGAAAGGTGAGCTCCGTTAATGACCAATTCTATTTGGTCGGACATTCAGTTGGTTTGCAAGATTGCGTAGGCTTTGAAGGAGTGATATGGCCGGTTATGGCATATTGCTTTCAAGAACAAATAACAAAGGGGTGCAATGCAAGCTATAGAAAGGCCTACAAAAAGAGTGCAAATCAACTGAAAATCACTAGGACCACAAACAGACCTTACAATCACTTATGGCACAGAATGTGTTGGGTTTATTATGTGATTTTGTTGCCTTTAAAGGGAGATCAACATCGAATTTGATGTTGGTCATGCAAATTTCTCTCAAACTTCCACAAAAAAACACAATTGGTTATTTATGTGGGTGTGGTGTGAGCTACAGGGGGTAGATAATATTTCTCTAAATGGGATCTAGGAAGTGGATTCTACAGTGATTAAGGTATCTCATAGGAAAGTAGACTTTCTTATAAATATATAGGTTTTTGAACCATCCCAATTGGCTTAGCGGTTGAGGAGATATGGTTAGTTGAGTATCTAGTACATTAAGGCCCTCTCCTAGACCGTATGGGGAGATGAGATACTATTGCTATACATGATACGATGTGGGATGATGCATTGTCACGTGACTCATGCGGATGGCCGCCCCAAAACGGGGGCCCACATCATGCAGTACTATAATGTTTTGTTCCTCTGCCTCGTGCCTCCCAGCGGCTACACCCGCGAGCCACATCGTGCTGTGCACCCACCGCACGCACAGCCACCCCACACCTGGCCATTCCTATGGCTTGGGCCCACATTGCATACCCAAAGATATGAGCGCCTCAGAAAACCCGCCGGCGATCCAGCAGAGGAGGCCCGTAGGCATTATCAGGCGCCTTGGTGGGCGCCAATGCCTGCATCCAACCAAAAACCACCTTAGCGGGCAATTTCATGAGCCAAGTTGGTTAGTTGGAGTGATTCCCTATGTATCCATAACCCAAAAATATAGTTAAGTGCTTTGTATGACCTTGTGATAAGGATTATCACCCTCACAACAGTAGACGCTTCCAGCAACAATAAGTTTGCATGAGCTGCGATCAAAAAGGCACTGCCAATGACCTTCCAAAGCTAGAACAACTAATCAGCGTTGAGGTTGTATTGGATGGCACTCAATCCTTGATGGCACTTTCTTCCAGGTCTTGCCAACTTTTCCTCAATTGGTGGGCCTGATTACTGGTCGGTGACGGATTCTGAGCCTTTTATGTATCTTTGGACAGGTCAACCTCCACAGAGGTAGGTGGACACTTTGGGCTTATATATTTGGATGGAGGGGTCATAATCTCACAGAATTCCACATGGTTTTCGAAGTTTTCCTTAGGTTAGCTCATACCCCAAATCTCAATGGTATTTATAACTCAGAATGACATATAGCAAATTGAAGCAAGGTGTATAATGAATGTTGATAATTTTTGGAGCATTTTTTCTGAACGTCACCATATTTCACTAGACTTCAATAACGGAGTGACACCTAGAGGGATACTCAAAAACCATCAACATTCAATAAACACTTTGTCACAATATGCTATGTGTTATTCTGAGTATTGAACACTATTAAGATTTGGGGCATGAGCCAACCTAAGGAAAATTTCGAAAACCACATTGAATTCAACAAGACGCAAAGGAGTCAAAGGCCACCACTAACCAGAAACCAGGCCCGCCGATTGAGGAAAAGCTGGTAAGTCCTAGAAGAAAGGCCTATTAAGGATTGAGTGCCCATTCAATACAACTGAAATATAGCGTTCAAACTGGACGTCAAAATATATGTTGACGATATTTGCTATCCCTAGGAAGTGTCAAGAGTACTAAGAAACTTGTGGAAGAATGGATGGGAGTCTTACTCAATACACATCAATTGTTCTTGCTCTAGAAGGATATTGGTGGTGCCTCTTAGATTTCAGCCCATGTGAAATTCCAGTATTACATCAAGC